TTCCCCTCGCCTTCCCCCGCCTCTGCCCCGCCTTCCCGTCGACAACGAGCTTCAAGGTTGGGATCCTAGCTGGCCACAAGCAATATCTTGACTGCATGGGCTGTCCCCTTTTTTCTAGTGCTTCAAGGTTTAATTTTTGGAAAGACTTTGGTCTTAGCATGGGACGTTGGACTCGGTTTCCAACAGTAGCTGGGATGGACCTAGAATAGAGGTAGGTCAGCAAGCTTGGATTGTAAGCGAATTGGCTGGAGCTGCCATGGTAACTCCGGGTTGAATTGTGAGGTCCCAGGCCTCGTCCAAGGTTTTCGATATAATGAAATGCTGAATCTTAAAAAAAAAAAAAAAAAAAAAAAAAAAAAAGGTACATACCTTGTTTTCGGGTTAAGACGGTGTCGGGACTGGTGAGTTCCGAATAACTTCCCATCACTCGAGAGACTAAATATGGGCAAACTGTGCACAACAGAGAAAACCGGAGTTAGGAAGCAGGAGAGAGAAAAGACAAAGGATTAGACCGCATGAGGGAGTGATGTCCTGGGGTGAGAACCACAGGAGGAAAGAACTAGCAACGACAAGCAAGTGAGCGCAAGAACAGGGGCACATAGAACATAGCATGAGGTCGGGAGGGCCTTTGGAATGCAATAAGACTAAGGCCAAAGGGCCCTTGTACCAGCAACTGCAGTACGACAGCGATAAAAGAATGAGGGAGTCGAGGGACGGGCGGCCCAGAGGCCGCGGGAAGAAAGAGAACGAGAGGTCAACATGGGGGCCACCTACGGGAGCCTCGGGGTAAAGGCTCATGACCAAAGGAATCGGCGCGCACGAGGCGCAAAAAAAGACAAGGGAGAGGGGTCACCATGGGGCGGCAAAACGCCCAAGGGACGTGGGACACCTCGGGGAAAGGCACCCGGGGTCACGTGGGACTTAGTAAAAATAATGGCATCCGGGGCGAAAGGTGCCGGGGACCGCCGGCGGGACTAAGTGTCGGGGCCCCCCGGCGGGACTAAGTGTCGGGGACCACCGGCGGGACTAAGTGTCGGGGACCGCCGGTAGGACTAAGTGTCGGGGACCACCAGCGGGACTAAGTGTTGGGGACCACCGCTGTCTCTTATACACATCTAGATGTGTATAAGAGACAGGTGTATGGGTCCACCAACGGGACAAGTAGCGGGGACATGTGAAAGTCCCAAGAAGAAAACGGCGGCGCCGCATGAGAAAAAATAATAAAGGCAAGGTGCACCGTCAAGATCGAGATCTTGACGGCCAAGAATATTAGCACCACTACCGCAAGCACTAGCGGTAGCAAATGGGAAGACCGAAAAGAAAAGAAAAGGTAAAGAAACTTGAGGTGGGGGGCATAGGAGCAATCCGAAAAATCTCGGATCAGCCTCCTTCAAGAAAATATAGTCAAAAGAGACTCCATGTGAAAAATAACCCTCCGGGAGAAAATCGGAGTAGGAGGGGTCACTATGGGAGGCAAATAGGAATGAAGTGAAGCTCCCATGGGCATGAGAATGCCATTATTGCAGTCCGAGATATAACGGACTGCACTTTGGGCATAGGAAGGACCAAAACTAAGAGGAAGAGGCTAAAAAATGGCCTTAACGACCACTTAACACTTGGCATGTTAGAAAAAAGAGAGAAAAAGAAAAAAAAATGTGAAAGAATAAAACAAAAAGGGTGAGAGGGAGTGAGTGAGTTGGCCGTCAGTAGGGACTGCCACAAGTAGGGACTGGCAGGTCCCTACTGTCCAAGAAAGGAGGAAAAGAAAACGAAAAGAAAAAGAAAAGAAAAGAAAAGAAAAGAAAATAGAAAAATGCCTTAACGGTAAAAAACGACCACTTGGGGAGATTCGTCTTTGACCAGATTCATTCTGGAATATGGCGGTTACAAAGGACTTGGATTTTTTTTATTTTTGCAGAGAAAATGAAAGAAAATCAAGACCCCATGCAACCGGAATAAAACAGATTGTATGCATGAGGAGAAACACGTGTTTTAGATGCATCCGGAGCCAAAATCAAGTTCGGATGCACTTGGGAATTGGTCGTTTCTTTTCCTTTTGAGAAAAGGCTAGTTGTGGGGCATTGGGGCTAGGGAATTGACCCCTATTGCAGTCCGAGTTGCAATGGACTGCATGGGGATGCCTAGGCTTAAGGAAAATGAGCCACGGCAAGCCCGGAAGGCTAGAAAGGAGAGATTTTCGGCATGAGGCAAGTAAAAACAGTAAACGGCAACCGTGAGATGAGATCTCACGGCCTAGAAAAATCAGCACACATGTAGAGATCATGGGACCACCAAGGACAAGGGGCCCCAAAAATAAAAATGGGACGCCGTCCGGAATGTTGTCGGGGGCCAAATGGGTCCAAATAAT